TCTTGGATTCCGAATTACTTGTCTCTTAAGAACGCAGACGGAGGGATTGATCCAAATTCCCTCATCATGATCTTTTCTGATATATGATTCATCCGCTGTAGTATCATCATCTCGATCGTTTCTAATATACGACTCATTCTCAACATCAACATCAACTTGATCCACACTTTTATCATCAATCACTTTGTTAGATAAAAGCACTATAGACCATTTCGTACTCTTCGGGTCTGTGACATAGAACACTTGTTTAGCTTGAGAGGCAAGAATAAAAGGCTCATCTTTGTACCCCACCCTACTAAGATCCACTTGCAAAAACCCTGACTTATCCATTCGTATTCCACTAGTATGTACCCACTTGCAACCAAAGATAGGAATCTGAAACTTCTCATAATCAAACACCCAGATGTGATTGATAACCCCGAAATATGACAAATTTTCATATTTGGGGTTTAAGTCCTTCATACCAGAAATGTGCATTGCTTCACATACCACTGTGACACCACTATTTTGCATGGTACTTTTCTAATCTTGTTCTTTGGTATAAAATGTGTATCCATTAATTCCGTATCCTCTATAAGAGAACACAATCGAACTTGGACCATATGCCAAACATCTCAACCTGTCTGATATTGAAGCGGGATCTGAATGAAACTTTGAATATATATGATCCTTAAACCACTGTATAAAACTTTGATTGTGCTCTCGTACTATCCAATTTTCATTTCTACTTTAATTCTCACCTCGGAGTATAGCCTTGTGCATTTTAACAAACGGCCCAACCTCAGTGTCATTATGCAGAACATACAAATGCACTTGATCCCGTTCATTCCTTGATACTGTCACAATTTCATTTCCAATTAATTTGTTACCTTCTTTTTTTTCGAAAAAAATGAGATTTGGGGAGTCCAATGGATTGCACATTGGACAAAAAATCAGTACAAAACTCAATCGCTTCTTCAACAACGTATCACTCAATGATACAACCCTCTGGACGACTTCGGTTTTTCATGTACCCTTTTAATATTTTCATATAACGTTCAACAGGGTACATCCATCTCATATAAGCTGGTCCACACAATTGTGTCTCTTTCACAAGATGAACAACAAGATGTACCATAATGTCAAAAAATGATGGAGGAAAATACATTTCAAGGTCACACAGAGTAATAACGATTTCTTTTTGTAATACTAGTAAGATCTCAGGATCGATCACCTTACTACAAATTGACCTGAAAAAAAACACAATTTAGTTATAGCGCTTCTTACTTTTTCTGGCAAAATAGAACGTATACCTATTGGTAGAAAATGTTCCATTGTGACATGGCAATCACGTGTCTTCAGACTCTTTAACTTGAGGTCTTTCATGGACACGAGTCTTCTAATGTCTGAGGAGTAACCTTCTGGAACTTTAACTTCACTCAGAAACTTACACAATATTTTCTTTTCCTTCCTAGATAGAGTATAAGAAGCAGGTGGTAGATATGTTCGTCTTCCTTTCTTCACGGGTCCTAATTCAGTTCTTATTCCCATCTCTACCATGTCCTCTCTTGCTTTAAGGCCATCCTTAGACTTTCCTTTTATATTGAGTAACGTACCAATAACACTTTCAAATACATTTTTTTCAATATGCATAACATCAAGAAAATGTCTTACGTACAAAGATTTCCAATATGGCAATTCAAAAAAAATTGACCTCTTCTTCCACCCACCTGTGACAACTTTATGTGCAAAAGGCTTGCCAAACTGAATACTCACATCTTTCACCTTTTCACAAATTTGATCACCTGTCAATCCAGATGGAGCTCTACGTTGTTCGGTATTTCCATTGAACGCTTTTCTCCATCCACGATATTGATGTTTTGAATTTAAGAATCTACGATGACCGAGAAAGACATTCTTTTGACAAAGTTTCAATCGTGTCGTATCGGTTCCATCTTCACAGACAGGACACGCTTTTTCACCTTTAATGCTATACCCGGATAGATTTCCATATGCTGGAAAATCGTTAATTGTGCCAAACAACATCACCCTCAAATTGAAACTTTCTTTCCTATATCCATCATAAACCTCCACACCGTTCTCCCATAAAATATTCAAATCTTCGATTAAAGGTTTCAAGTATACATCTATGTCATTCCCTGGTTGTTTAGGCCCAGAAATTAACATAGATAACATCATGTACTTGCGCTTCATACATAGCCATGGAGGTAGGTTATAAATCATAAGAATCACAATCCATGTGGAATGTGAGATACTTTGAAGACCATGCGGGTTCATTCCATCCGTAGATAATGCCAAGCGAAGGTTTCTTGTTTCTCCTCCAAAATCAGGATAATCATTATCAATTTTCTTCCACTGTGGTGCATCTTCCGGATGTCGAAACTTTCCATCGATAATTCTTTCATCTGCATGCCAAGTCAAGTGTCTAGCATCGGTTTCACTACGAAACATGCGTCTAAATCCCGGAATAATAGGAAAATACCATAAGACTTTCGCTGGAGATAATTTTTTCTTATATCGAGATAAACCGCACTTTGGGCACTCATTCAACGATGCATATTCGTTTCGAAACAAAATACAATCATTTAGACATGCATGTATCTTATCATAGCTCATGCCAATAGAGCACAACATTTTTTTGGCCTTGTAGGTTCGATTAGGAAGAACATTATCCTCAGGAAGCATATCTCTCAAAAGGGCTAATAACTGTGTGAAACTTTTATCCGACCATCCATTGCGCGCCTTTAAGTTGTACAATTTTAATACCGCAGACAATCTTGTGAATTTGGGGCAATCTTTATACAACGGTTTCTCCGCATCGCTTACCAACCTCTCAAACATTTTGGGATAATCTTGAAGATCTTCTTCAAGTGCTTCTGCAATCTCTTCAACCCGATCACAATCATATGTATCCGTGGCATTGTCGTACGAAACATAGGTCGCATTACTTTTCACCCCCGGTTCAACATTCTCGATGCTTTTCTCACCATGAAATATCCAACACGTATAACTTCGATTAATTCCGCGCATTAGTAAATGCGATTTCAATCCATCTGCGTCAACCCGACCCACATAACAACAACCCAAGCAAGGACATTTCATTCTATTCGGGTCTTCAGCGTGTTCAACAGCAAACTTAACGAACTCTAATACCCCATCCTCGTACTCTTTTGACAATCGATCGGCACACATCCATTTTTTATCCATGGTTTTAACTATTATCTAAGTTAAAGAGTCTGTGTTGTCAACAAAAATCAAACATGTGATTAGAACAATTCTAGAAATGAGGATTGTTGTGGTCCTATAACATATTAAATCAATGATCGTCAACGTTACAATTTTAGAGACATTAGCTTAGTTGTGAACTCATTCTAAGATTCATGATTTGTGTTATTTTTTACTATTACTAAGTTGAATATTAGATGGGGGATTTACATGATGTGATTCCTTTGTTCCTTGCAGGCATGTCTACATGAGCTAAGCATACAATATTTCTTAAATAGAATTATGGATATATTCTAGTTGAAAATAATCATCTACAGATGTAATTGACACTTCAACATGTTAAAAGACATTATACTTTTATTAAATTAATTAACTCTATCAACATGTTAGAAGCTGTGCGGTAAATATTAAGAGAAATTGTAGGATACTTTTCATGATAGATTAGTTATAGGAGATTAGAACTTTATTGTTAAAAAGAATTGTATGAGATTGAAATTTTATTCTTAAGAGAATTATAGATATATCTTTTGATGATGGATTAGTTATAGGAGATTACAACTTTAAATTGAAGCACCACTTATTATATTACAGGCAGGACACAAGTCATCGATCCTCAGTTTTTTCCTACTCCCCATCCATCTCCTAGTTATGCTTTGTTATGACTCGGTTTGTCTCTGCTATGTACAAACTCAGTCCTCCACTATCTTATTCTTCTCCCATCATTGAGAAATCTAAGATTATTAAACCCATTACAAGTATTTTGACTAGTCCATAATATATCTTAGATTTAAAAAAAAATCAAAATAAAAGTTTCAAAAGAGAGAATAGAAACCATAATACCTAAGGTTCCTCGGCTTTTACTCGCGGAGATTGTTAATTTTCTATTTTGCCGTAAGAAGAAAAACAATAAGAAGATGAAGATTCCAGCAAGAGCAGAAGAAGCAATCAATGCTAGTAGAATTCTCTTATTCAAATTCTGGTGATGCACTATTCTAACATCTTGATTTCCTGTATCATTCATTGTAAAAACAATACATCAAATTCATTAGTCTCGTTAAACCAACTCAGTTAATTGCTGTGCAGAAATATAAGATATATTAAAATTGACATAAAATAAAAATGCTGGTGAGTATTTCAAGATTAGAGAGATTAGCTCCCGGATCCAAATTCTCAACCCTAAAATCACTATTTTGATTGAAACTAGAGTGAAGAATATAAATGCCCAAACTATTAGAGACAAACTCAAGCTCAGAGGTCTCTATATAGATAATTACAACAAACATGATAATGGAAGGATATGGCTGGAGTGGGATGAAAATAGAGTTGATGTTAAACATGTAAAAAGTACTAACCAACTAATATATTGTGGTGTTTATGATTAACAGGGTAACTTCCTAAATTGTATGTTTGTTGTATATGCATGTAACCAGCTAGAACAAAGGAAAATTTTGTGGAAGGACATATTGGAAGTGCACTTCTAGAACCAGGGGCCTTGGTTCTTAATTAGGAACTTCAACAATGTGTTGAAAACTCAAGACAAAATTGGAGGGAAACCAGCAACTGAACATAAATATGATGACTTGACCAACATGATGATGCTCATACGGTTGTATGAAATGGATAGAATAGGAGATTACTACACATGGTCAAACAAGAAAAGTGAGAGGGATATCTACTCTAGAACAAATAGAGTCTTGTCCAATGTAGCTTGGCTGCAAAGTAACATGGAGAAAACTTTAAATATCATGTCTCCTAGTGCGTCACACCGTTCTCTACTATGTTTGAATTGCTATGAGAAGACCTATAGGAAGAAAGCTAGATTTAAGTTCCATATTACTCATAGCACCAAAAAATGTTTCATTCCCGTAGTTCCATATGCCATAGACAGTCTTAACAATAGCCAGCTTGAGCAAGGAGGCTTTATACCCTTTAACCTTCCCATGCGCAATAGTCCAGCGAAGCTCAATATCCCAACTTTTTGGAACATGGGACTGATGAATCTAGGCCAGAATATTACTCCAGATATGATTAAGCTTATGACAATCAAACAACAAATTCATAATAGATTCCTCTTTGCTGCAGAAGGCACAATCCTTATTAGCAACCATCCCAAATTTGAACAATCTACATCTAGTAGCTAGCCTTTGATGACATGCAAGCAAAAAAAAAACCTTCGATCTGGGTCTAGCAGGATTATTTTTAAGCAGCCTATACCAAGTCACATCAGGGCAATTGCATAAGGTGAGATAAACCTCTTTCATTCTGAATTTCTATTTCAGGTTCATATCTGCCCAAACAGTTGGATTATTAACAATAAAATCCTTCTGCTATAAGATTTTCCTCATGATCCAAGTGCTATTTGTTTTGGATTTCACCTCTTCAATGCTTTGGTCTTTGATGTAGTAATAATTAACCATTGAGACTGAATCTGTAGGAAACAAAGGAGACTACAATTATTATCCAGCAAATGAACTTAGAGGCCATACCAATTTCCTGCATGATATTTTATAAAGCTTTCTAAGAGATCATGTCATAAGCCTTATGCATGTCTAACTACACCATACATCTAGGAGGGCCACTATTCCTGTTGTACCCTTTAATCAATTCAAACACTAAAAGAATGTGACTATGGGTTTGCTTCCTTGGGATAAAAGCAGCCTGATTTGGGTTAACAATTTTACAAATAACATGCCCTAATCTAGCAGTCAAAATTCTGGATATAATCTTGCAAACAATAGTGCAGACATAAATTGGCCCATAATCCCTTATACTCCTAGAAGATTTGCTTTTAGGGGTGAGAGAAACAACAATGCAATTGAAAGCTTTGTACAGGTACCCTTTGTCAAAAAATTCATGGACTGCAACAGTCAGATCTCCTTTTATAATATCCCAGTAGTGCTTAAAAAGCCTGGAATTAAAACCATCAAGTCCTGGAGCAGACAGGTCATGAATGCCTTTTAGGGCAGAAAAGATTTCTTCCTCCTTAACAGGACTGATCAAACCATCACTCTACACCCTACTAAGCCTGGGCCCAACTTCATAACACTCATATCTATGCTCCTCAAGTTCTCATATTTCCTCCCCATCAAGTTACCATAGAAACCTAAGACTTCATTCTCAATATCTGATTGAGTAATTGCCATAGTACCTCTTTAAGTAACATGTTCAGGTTTCCAGACTTTTTCTTAGCTTTGACAAATGCATGAAAAAATGAAGAATTACCATCACCATCTTTAAGCCAACTAATATTTGCCCTCTGTCTCAGAATAGCTATCTCAGTATCATTCCATCTAATCAGCTCCTCTGTGCAATTTTTAACACCCTCAATCAAATGTCTGTTGAATATGTCTCTAGAAAGATTAATTTGAGCTTTTTCAAGATTTTATCTGGCCTGGGCTATCTTCTTCTTGGATAACATCAGAGATTTTTGCATTTTGTAAATCAATAGTGTAATCGATCTGTAGGGTTATGAGGAGGTTTTGAGCAATAGATAAAGGGAACCTATGAGAGGTAGATCTACGTATGTGCTATGGAAGAAATTGCAAAGACGACAACCCATTTTGAAAACCCTGGTAAACCCCTGTGAAACTTGAACAACAAAGTTGTAAAGGCTAGAACATAACCATTGCAGGCCCAGAAGGAACTCAATAATGATAGAATGAACATCCACAAAATTGAGAATGTAAAAAAAGTTGAATGAGGAGCTTATAAAATGGCATGAGCTAAAAGAACATGTTTTGACTCAAAGGGCAAAAATTGATTGGCTAAAGTTTGGAGATGGGAAGAATTCTTACTTCCATGAATCAATAAAAGCAAAACAAAAGCATAAAAGCATGATAATGCTTTGGACGACAAAACAGGGGCTGGAAGGCAGAGGGATACAAAACCTAAAAATAAATTCTTGGTGAAATGGAAAACCCTCAACCATGGACACATTGTTATTTAGAATCTTAGATTACAATTATCATACCACAATAACATTCCAAAATCCAAACGGAAAAATTAGAAATTGGAGAACAACAATGAAGATTTCAAAAAAATCAATTAAACTCTAAGAGAAACCTAAATAATTGCAATAGAAGGAGAAAACTGAACGAATATGGAGAAAGAGTAAACTAATCACTGTAACTACAACTATCAATCCAAAATTTATGTGTAAATTGCTAGAATCACTTTCATAATTAAAAGGATGAAGAAAGAAATGAAGAAGACCATTGTTCTTGCATTGAGTTAACCATAGAAAAAAATATAGAAGGATGAAGAAATTTTACCTTATAGTGAAACTGGTTTTGTGAAACTTCTTCTTCACGAGGAGATGGTGGTAACGAATCTGAAGCGAGTTGGAGAAGAAGATGAACCACGTGCCTCGTATAACCGGAGAATCCGAAGCTTACAACGATACAACGAATCAGGAAGCGAGTTGGAGAAGAAGATGAACCACGGTTGGACGGTGAGGAGGGAGGAGACGAGTTAGAAGAAGATGAACAATTGCGTGTATAAAGTGGGGTTTTGTATAAAGTGGGGTTTCTGATAACCAATTTAGGGATTTAGAAATTATTTAATTACCTTAGACAGCGCTTTCAAGAAGCGCTACTAAAGGTATTACCTTTAGCAGCGCTTTAGTGTAATGCCTTTAGCAGCGCTTCTTAAAAGTGTTGTCTAAGGTATACCCATTATCACACCTTTAGTAGCGCTTTTATTAAGCGCTATCTAAGGTATACCCTTTAGCAGCGTCTATTCTTATTTTTTTATTTTTTATTTATTGAAAACCTATAGCAGCGCTTAGGGAAAGGAAGCGTTGGCTATGGTAAAGCCTTTAGCAGCGCTTTTAGTAAGCGCTGTCTAAGGTATACCCTTTAGCAGCACTTATTCTTATTTTTTTTATTTTTTTTATCGAAAACCTATAGCAGCGCTTAGGGAAAGGAAGCGTTGTCTATGGTAAGGCCTTTAGCAGCGCTTTTAGTAAGCGCTGTCTAAGGTATACCTTTAGCAGCGCTTACTCTAATTTTTTAATTTTTTTTTCTTCTGAAAACCTATAGCAGCGCTTATGGCATAAGCGATGTCTATGTGGCGCTGTCTAAATGCAATTTTGGCATAGTGTTCAGGCCTCACTCAAAGTTGCTACATTGCCATATCCAAACTCAACTGAACAAGGTAATTTTCAAAGTTCTATCTCCTTATTTAGGCATCATTAGGCTTAGGTTTGTGAAGCAAAAATGTAGTCCTTAGTGTGCTTGAGCTGTACATATGCATATCTTCCATTTATATTGACTGAGCTAGGAGTATTTAATAGTTGAAGTTGCTGAAAATTTTAGGTCAGAAATTAGGGGTGATAAGATTCTCTTTGGTCTTTGAGAGTTAGGTCAAATTCTTTATATCATTGGAATCGTGTGATGATGAGCTATATTTTTCATGTTATAAGTTTTTGATTTTGTGCAAAGAATAGCAAGAACAGGTTTGAAAGGAAGCGCGCGCGTTTTTCTGGTCTGGAGGTCAAGGATGAAGTGAACATTGGGCTTGGGCTTGCTGTTTCTACTTTTCACACCATCATTTTTCCTTTTTGCACCCCCTTGGCCCATTTTCTATATTTTTGTATATTTTTCATTTCTTTTATATTTTCTGACTTTATTTATTTATTCTAAACAAATAAAAATCTCAAAAATATTTTCATTATTTTTTGCATTTTATTTTATTATTTTCATTATTTTTTTGGGTATAAAAATAGTTTATTAATAATAATATAACTTTTTTTCTAAATAAAACTTATAAATAATATAAAAATATCATACATTTTATTTTTTATTATTTATACACTTAAAATAATATTTTCATACAATATTTAATTTTTTAACATTTTGAATATATTTTTATTTATTTTCTTGTGCATAAATGAAATAAATAATAATAGAGTATATATTTTCTTAAAACAAAAATTAGGGTTTTCACCCTTTCAAAAATAATCATTTTATTTTTTTCTTATTTTTAAGACATAAATAAATTTATTTTCTCATACATAAAACAATTACAAAAAAACATTTTTGCATACTTATAATTTATTCCATATTTAAATACTTGTTTATTTATTTATTTGTACAATAAATTCAATATGGTTGTAATAGTTTTAGGGTTTTATTTTGAGCAATATCCCCCTATTCAAAACTTGTACCCTCTCCATAATAATGGTTTAATAGTTTAGATTTAATTTACGCATTTTATTGCTTTCATTTACCATGATAGTAAATTAGGGTTTTGTATGCAAAGACCAAAAATTAAACAAATAACATGACTTAATACAAGATAAAAATGCATGAAAAATGACAACACATTGCACACAAGCACCCCTAGGGTTTCATCCACTTTGTTGCCTTAAAATATGGCCATGGTATGCATGCTAGGTATCTTGGCAAAATCAATGCAAAAACAAAAAGATCATAGTCCCTCAATGACGCTATCAAAATGTTGCCTAAACAAAAATGATCTTAAGTCCCTCAAAACTTGCTAAAGATACTTGGAAATATTGTTATCATGGTCATACGATGACCCACGCCTGTCCCGTTTAACATCCAAAGATAGGGTTGTTTACCAAATACAATGGTAAAACAACAATGTCAAAGGGTTAAAAATGTGTAGGAAAGACTTTTGAGTAGGTAAATGCTTCTAGTTACTTGATCAAATTTGCAAACCATCCTTGCTATTTTCAAAAACACACAACACATTCCGAAACAATTTCCAAACAAACTTTCAAACATTGAAACATTTTTCAAAAGACAAACATCTTTGTAAACATTCTTCAAACAAGAATCATTACAAAGATTGCCAAAATGATGGCCTCTTTTCAAAATACTTTCAAAACCACACAAAGCACCATATCAAACAATTGGAAAATCAAAGCAAGTGATCTAAACAAGTAACTAAGAGCCCATGGAAAACCATGGATGAAAAGGGTGCTAGCACCTTCCCTTTTCATAATCTACCCCCCGAACTCAAGAAAACATCTCAAAGGTATTTCCTGTGCTTTTTGACCTTTCCTTTGGATAAAATAAAAAGTTGGTGGCGAATCTTGCTAAACCGAAACATTTGCGAACACAAACGCAAAACACCCAAGTCAGTTCTCCCACCGTATCACAGAACTGGCGACTCTGCTGGGGAAAAATAAGAAAAGTGGGGTTACCTTAGGGTTTTAGATCACCTTTACATGCTTATCTTGTTTGACTTGTATGCTTTACACTTTGGTTCTATTGTTTGGGTTTGAATCCTCTAC